ATAGAGGAGAGAGAGAGAGAGAGAGAGAGAGAGAGAGAGAGAGAAAGAAAAGATTCGTCCATTAATTAGTGTCTTTGAATTTTAATTACGAAAAACAAGAAAAAAAACCTATTGATTGAAGTGAAGTAGACTTTTTTTTTTTTTGATCACATTTTTCTTTTTGTCATTGTCACATGTGACTAGTGATGTGGAGCCAACCGTGTTAAATTTTTTTTTCATCTTCTTCTTCTTTGGTTGGTTCTTTTCCCAATCATCAGCTAAAGAATTTCCATCATCATCATCATAATGTCCACAAAAAAAATCATATTTGAATTTGACCTTTTCATCGGTTCGGTTCAGGTGAATCTTTCAATCTTTTCGTCTTTTTCACCACCACCAAACCTAACAATTATATTCCTCTTCATTTTGGTTCACTGATTCTCTTCTCTTCTCTTCTTTTTAGTTTTAGTTTTGCTTGCTTTAAATTGATCGTCGGTATGTTGCTTTTTCTTTCTTTTTTACTTCATTGTTTCATTGAAATAATTGATGAGAAGAAGAAAACGAAGAAATAGATTTGCTGATGATGCTCATTTCCATTCTGATGATGATGATGGTGATTGTTTCAATCAAGCAGCTTATCAACCAACCAACCAACCAAACAAACAATTTCAAAGAAAGCACCCAGTGAAGGAAAAAAAACTAATTTTCCTGAATAAAAAAAATTCAAGAAGCCAGAATTTCTGTACAAAATGTCTTCGTGTTGATAATTGGTTGGTTGGTTGATTGTCTTTCGTTTGTTGTTTGTTCAATTCATTTCATTTCATTTCGTCATTTTAGTTTTTTTAGTTTCGAATGATTTCAATGTGACAATCGTCTTGTTTTTTTAATCATTATTATAATCATCATCAGTCAATTATCTTGTGTTTGTTTCCACTATCTGATTCATTATTGATCCATACAAAATGACAATTTTTTTTCTGTTTTGTTGAAAATCTTTAATTGGTTAAGTTTTATCGTTATCGTTGTTATCGTTGTTGTTGTTTATCATGATAAACCGGATAATATGAGTGTACATTCGATTGCCCATTATCTACCCAACCAAACCATTTCTGTCAATATAGTTTTTTGTTGTCTATCGAATAAATGAATTCTTTGTATTCCGGCTTGTCATCGATCCAATTGAGTTTTTATATTTTTTTTTTCTTCGTGAATATGAATTTTGTTATTTCATCATCATCATCATCATCATTATCATAAGGCTGAGAAAGTTACCTTGGTTACTCTCAGGTTTGGATTTTTTTTTTGTTGTTTTTGTTGTTTGATTTTCATTTCGATTTCGATTTTTCTGTTTCGGTAATTTTTATTTTTTCGTTTCGTTTGAGTTCGAAGGAACATTTCTTTTCTTTTTTTGTTGTTGATTGGTTGGTTGGTTAGTTATTTTTGTGTATTTGTTATGTGAAATACAGTCAATTTTTTCGTTTTCGTTTTGTTTGTTTCAAAGGTCGATTTGATCGATTTTTTTTTGTCATTTGTCATTCTGTAATTCTATAGATTCTATATTGTGGTTGATGATTCGTTTTGGTTGTCAAATCGTTTGTTTTGTTTGTTTGTTACATTTGTGTTTTTTTGTGCAACAAACCCAAAAGAATCTAAGGTTTTTTCGTTTGTTTGTTTGTTTGTTTCTCTTCATCTATCTTCAATCTAATTAGTAATCAATTTTAATACTTTTTCTGCAGTTTTTCAGTTTCTTTTCTTTTTTTTGAGAAGAGAAAATGAATAAATCCAATCAAGGTATATGGTTCAGAGATTGCACTACCACATTATCATCGGTAGTAGTTTTTTTTTGGGGAGGGGGGCAAGTCATCCATTTATCGCATAGACTGCTATAGAGAATCATTCTTGCGTAAATTTTTTATCGCCTATGATTTCTCTCTCTCTCTCTCTCTTCGTTGTTCCTGAAGATGAAATTAGACAATAAAAAACAACCTTTTTTTCACTGAATAAAACAACGACGACAACGACACACCAACAATAATCATTACGAAACAGGACCAAAAAAACAACAACAACAACAACTTGCATCCGAGTAATAATCATTTTTTTTTTCATTTTCAAACAACAACAATTTAAACAAAAAAAGTACACCTCCCACCCTTTTGGCCATGATGAATAAACGATTCATGATGAAAGATGATGCGATCCTTGATGATGATGATGATGATGATGAGAAAAATGACATAGACCGAAACGGCCAGTGACCTTTATCATATATATTTTGTTTTCACTTTAAAAATGTCTTCTATTTTTTTCTTCTGGTCAAATGATCAAAAATCAACCCAAAATCAATGAAAAGATTGTTGTTTCTCTTTCAATCCTTCAATCTGTTTCGAAAAAAATTCGTTTGTCGCCAAACAATTCATTAAGAAAAAAAAGGTAGACAACAACAACAACAACAGTTCAATCAATCAATCAATCGATCGGCTCATGTATCATTTTACATTGGTTGTTGTTGTTGTTGGCAATATCCGCAACAACAACAACAACAAAAAGATCATTTAGTCGGCGCGAGAAAAAAATTTTCAACCACCACCACCACCACCACCACCACCAATCATTATCGATCATCAATCGATTTAATTTTATTGCTTTAAATCGATTGGATTTTGTTTTTTATTTCAAATATTAAATTATCAATCAATTTTTTTTGTGATGATTTTTGGTAATGATATTGGTTACTTTCACATGATGATGATGATCATCATCAAATATTTCGTTGATTCATAGTGATGATGATGGTTTTAATGATCATTAAACAACAACAACAACACTTCTGATGGCCAAAATGTCAATCAAAAAAAAAGTAAAAGAAGAAGAAGAATGAGAATGAGAAAAATCCAATTTGGTCTAATTACAATGCGTGTGCCTGTGTGTTTGTTTAATTTGAATTTAATTTTCATCCAAAAAAAAAAGGTAGGATGGTCAATAATAATTTATAAGGAGAAATATGCTGAAGGGTTAATTTGTTACAACAGTTAGTTGTTTTACCATCATCATCGACCCATCATTTGATGAACCTGAATGATGATGTGAATATCATCATCATCATCATCATTATCTTTGCCCTAACCCATCGATCATTTTTTTTTCTTCAAATTGTTTTCTTCCAAATGGGTTTAACCCTTTATTATTTATTATTATTTTTGTTTTGGGCAAATTTGTCCAATGATTTGATTAACAACAACAACAACAACAACTCAACCGAATAAAATATGCTAAATTTTTCTAGCGTTTATTGTTGATTGATGGATGAATCTTTTCAGTTGAATCATACACTGTGTCTGTTTGGTGACAAAAAATATTTATTTCTGGTTCAGTGATGGTTGAAAGGGTGTTTATGATGATGATGATGATGAAAAAATTTTCTTTTTCTAAAATACACCTTTGTTATCATCATGATGATTATGGCGAAATCAGCTAAACAAATTAGCGATAATTTCTTTTTTTCTTTCTTCGAAAAAAAATCGTGTTGTCTCTTTTTTTTCTTGTTTAGTTTACTTTACTTTACTTTGAAAAATATCAGTAAAACGAGAAAACTAGATGATCTAATTGCTAAAACAACAATCATGACACATCTTATGGTCTATCAATTCACTTTTGTTTTTTTTCAGTTTCAGTTTCAGTTTAGTTCTTGAATTTTTTGTTTTTTTTTGTCTATAATCATTATGTGCACTGGATTTTCATTTCATTTCTTTTTTGAAAAAAAAAGTCTTTTCATTCAAATTATTCAACGAAAACAACGAAAAAAAATATCTAATACCTTTTATTATCATTTTCAATACAGGAAAAAACAGAAAACAGACGTTGGAAATATCCATTTTCATCATCATCCTTAATCGTTGCGTGATTTTGTTGTTGTTTTCACCATCATTTTTCAACTAAAACCACCACCACCAACCACCACAGTTGATGATCACAATCATTTTCATCGATAATTTGCTATATGATGCAAAACTTGTATGACAATCATTATCATCATCAACTTGTGCTGATCGATGCTCTTACCACATCAGTCGACTATTTTTTTGATTATTCAAAACATAATCATCATCATCATCATCATCATGATTGAATTGAATTGATAAAATGAACCGGCGGAACTGGCGATGAAAATGATGATGATGAAAACATCTCTATAAGATCATCTATAAACCGCAAATGACAATATACACACATACATAATACAGGTAATGATCATTACCATCAATTTTATTGATGATAAGATTGAACGACAACCACCACCACCGATAATAGTGATGATGATGACGACAACGATCAACGATCAACCTATGGATAGTTGATTGACATGGTCTTTCTTAATGGCACTAGAAGAATTCACGGCTATTGTTCAATTCATTTTTTTGAAATGAAACGAAATGAAATGAAATGAAAAATGATAATTTAAATAATGTTCCGTGGCTTCTTTAGTGCTTTGAAGAACGGCTAATGTTCTACCTATCTATCTATCCTATCTATTATCATCTTTTTTTTCTCTTTCTAATATTTCATTCTTTTTTCCAATGATGCAAATGTTATCATCATTTAGTTGATGATGATCGCTTTCTATCATATTTTTTTTTCTATAGAAAAAAAAATTACTTCATCTTAGTGCATTTTCCTTGGCACTGGAAGAGTTCGCCACTTTGAAATTTAACAATCAAAAAAAAAAATCAAAAAATCTAAATGAAGACTGAAAACTGAAACCAAAAAAAATATTGAATTTGGGTGGATTCTTGAGTGCCAAAGAAAATGCCTTTCATCATCTCGATCGTGTAGTTTCTTCCATTTATGTTCGAAACGAAACAACCATTTTTAAAAAATCTTTGCACAAAATTTTGGCACTGGCACATTTTTGTGTGGAAATTATTTCCAATTTTGTTTTTTTATTAAAAAAAAAAATATTGATTAGCACAAGAATTGTGAAAGTGTCAATTATTGTGTTTAAAGACAAATTTCATCATGATTTTTTTATTTTATTTTGATTGATTGATTTTAATCTAATTTTTCCTTTGCCTACAGAAAAGACAATAACCATTTTTAAGAATTTGAAATTCATATTCATCATCGTAGAAAAACTGTAAAGTTGATAATTTTTATTTTTCCGTGGTTTTTGATTTTTTTGAAAAGAAAAGAAAAAGAATAATCAAAATTTGTCATTATAAAAAAAACATATATAGATTGGACAAACCTTATGACAAAATGGACAAGCAACAATTCCAATTTCGGGCATCATATTCAAATAATAACGATTGGAAACAATAATTACATTCGATCGATTCAATTTTTTAAAATGTTTTTCATTCAATATGGCTACATTTGTAATTGGATTGATTTCATCGCTTAAATTAATTGTCTGTTCTGATTCCAATTTATTATTATTCGAATTCAATGATAATGAATCATTCGTGAAGATTTGTGAATCGTTTGCCAACGATGATGATGATGATGTTTGATCGGATGATACTGAAGATATTTGAATACCATCACTATTATTGTCCAATATTTTTCGAAAATCTTTATCCTGAATATTGGTTTCAAATTCTACCAGCGGCAAAATATCTGCAAGCAGAAAAAAAAGATCATTTAAAATTGATTTTTTTCAGACAAGAAGTTAAAAAAAATACAAACCAAATGAATAGAATGAATGTATAAATCTATGATCACAATTGATACATCGATTCAATTTACCATTAATCAATGAATATTGTGATGAACAACGATAACAAAATAATGATAATTCTTCTGCATCGATAAATGGTTTTGTACGAATTTCAATACTACCGATTTGTATTGATTCGGATAATTTATCCGGTAATCGAAGATTAATCAGTTTTTTATAAGCGATCCTTACCAATTTATAATGACCTAATGCTTTACCTAATTTTGCCAATGCAAATAAAATGTACCTAATTAAAATGATTAAAAAAAATTTTTTTAAAAAAAGATTGATTTTTTTCGAAATTTTGTTTTGAAAAAAAAATTATTTTCCATACGCCATTGAAACACCTTGAGGCAATAAATCTCCATCATCAATATATTGAAGCAAAAACAAAGCCGAATTGAAAAGAATTTCAGCATAAACCGATGTAAATGGTTCTTCCTATTTATGAAGTGGGGAAAAAAATCAATCCGATTATTATAATTTTTATGAATATCACATATTCACATACAATATATTTGAATATATATTGATATGCATGATAGATTTCGGCATCCCTTTCCTTTTTCTTATCATCATCATTATTATTGTTTTGATTGATACCATGATTGGCTAAAAGCCAACAATAATAGCTTGCATCATTAAAACGATTTGCCGTGATTGAATTATTCAATAATCTTTCCAATACTTGTCGTGATTCATCAAATTTTCCCGATTCTTGAAATGCTTTCTGTGCTTCAGCAAATCGTTCATTTTCAGCCAACCACATTGCATATGGATAATAGATTTCTTCTTTCATTTGTGGTATATCATTACAGATTTTCAATGCTTCTTCCCATTGATTATTATGAATATAGGAAAGTGCTAAACTTTTAAAATTTCCAATTTTTCGATAAATTTGTATTGCATTTTCGTAATCTTGATTTTTGAGAAAACTTTCTGCAATCAAATTAAGTAATTTAATTTCACCTTTATCGATTTGTTGAGCAAATGATACGATACTGTTTTGGTTGGTTAAATTTGTCAAATTATATTCTATGAATCTAAAAATATATCACACAAACACTAACCTGTTGACATCACTTTTCGAAATAATTTCAAATGCTTTTTCATAATCACCTTTTGCAATGCAAACATTACATAATGTTTGTAGATCACTGAAATCATTATTATTTGATCGTTGTTGTTGTTGTTTTTGATTGGTAAAATTTTCGGCTACTAATGTAACCTGTTGTTGTTGTTGTCGTTGTTCACCACTGTTATTATTATGTTGATATTCTTTTGCTTGATCATACATCTGTAGATCGGTAAACATTTCCAATGCTAAATGTGATGCATTAATTTTTTTATAGATTCTTGCAGATTCTGAAAACAATCCCTGATATGCTTGATATTTAGCCAATAGCAGCTGTTTTTTATTGTCATTCGATGCATCCGGTTGTTGAAAATGTGTATGAATCAATTCATTATATGGCCAATCATTATTACGATAGTAACATTTTCGTCCTATCAAAAATTCACATCTATTCATTGCTGCATTTGTTAACATTTGCCAATCTTCATAAGTGACATTCAAACATGCTATTCGGTATGCTTCACTAATTTCGAAATAAAATCAAATGAATCTAATTTTTAAAAAAAGAAATGTGAACAAAACTAACCTGAAATTGTTTAGCTGAATGAAATGTGAAAGAATTTTTGAATAGGAAATTTCACGACAAATAATTTTCATATCCGTATTTTGTATATAGATTTTGTTGCCTGAATAACCAATTACATTTGTCTGTGATTGTAAAAATAGTCAAAAAAAATTCATTCATCGTTCTTTCGAATCGAATCTTACGTTTTCGTTAACAAATTCGATCGTTTGCATTGGAACATTGTTCATTTTTATCGCTATAAATCCGGATCCGGAATAACAAAGCAAATCTTCGAAATGACTATTCCAAACAACACTATTTACACTAGGTTCCTAGTTAAAAAAATTAAGAAAAATAATGTTAAATTCGAAAAAAAATAATGACTGAAAAACCTCAAATATTAGTTGCTCAGTGTGTAAATCATAAACCGAACAATTATTTTGATCATCAATGATTGCCATTTTTTGTCGTTTCATACTGATATCAATATATTGAATCGGATTATTCAATTTAATCAGCTCAATCGGTATAATATTGGATAAGAAGATCATCAATACTTGGCCATCTTTAAGACCGATCAATAATGATTCTTTTGTTGGCAAACCACCGACCGGTTTCAAATGTTCGATTGTACATTTAAAATTCCATTCTTTTTCCAATCGTCCATTGAAATTTAATGATTTTATAAGTTTCTCATGACAAACGATCAGATTCGATGAACATAACATTAGGATTGTACAATCAATTTCAATGTTTATTTTTTCTTTGATCCGATAATTTAGTTCTCCTTCATTGGATTCATAAAGAACGATACGTTTGGCCAATTGAATCTAAAATATTTATGGATAAACATTTAAAACGATCAATCTGATATATGAATTGAATTGAATTGAATCAATTCAATGCAAACAAACAACATACAGCCAATAATGTTTTATAAATGGCGATTTTCTTTACCAAATCTCTACATTTGATCAACGCTACAAAAAATGATAAATAGATTTGAAAAATTTGAATTCATTCCATTCGGTTAAATAATAATTGTAACATTACTTTTTTCATTGTTTTCAATATTTTGTATGATAACATCCGTCATTGAATGACGATATGCATATAGTTGTTTATATAAACATTGTACTGTCATCAATGATATCTGATATATTGATAGACAACCATCCTGACAACCGATTGCCTTCAATAAAAAAAAAAAGAGATGATAAATTTTATGTCAATGAATGTCATTCATTCATTACACATACCATTCGATTTCCAAATGTTTTACAACACCATATCCATGATTCTTTTGTTATGATTGTTTCGAGTGACATTCCTTCAATCGTAAACACTGTTACCTGTTTATTTGTACCACCGATAAGAAAAAATTCATTTTCTAAAACTGATGATATAAACAATGGATCATGATTAAGATTTCGTTCTTGAATATTCTGTCAAAGATCAAAAAAAATTGATTGATTGATTATCAAAATTATTGAAAAGCAAAAACCTGATTTCCATCCACATCATATATGGCAATTGTTTTCGACCAATCAACAATTGATAATCGATTTTCCATTCTTTCATCATTGGTTTTAAAGAATAATATACCCCATATAGCATTTTTACGATCAATTTTCATTTTTTCATCACCATTCTATTAACAATCAAAAAAAATCAAAAATTGAATGATTTTCCCACCAACAAAAAAAACTGCATTTGATAATTACCTTAAATCGTATCGATATATGACCAGAATTAAATCCAATAGCAAATATAATACCATCATCATTCCAACAACAACAATTTATTTGATTTGTTACTTTAATTTTGTTTACATTTTTTTGTTCCGGTGACCAAAGACCAAAATCTGAATTTGTACAGCTTAATAATTGATATGATGTTGGATTATATTGTAAACAACGAATCGAATCATTATGTCTGATAATTATTATGTGCGGGAGGAGAAAATAGAAAACTTGATTATTGACAAGAACTATTGACTATTTATACACTACTTACGAATATTTAAGTATTGCTTCCATTCTTGATGTCCATATAATAACTTGTTTATCAGCCGATCCGGTTGCAAAACGTTTACCATCATATGCATAACAAATACAATAAACATTATCTTTATGTCCTTTTAATGTTTCGATTAATGTTTTTTTCAATAAATCATATACATAAATTTTTTGATCAGCAACTGCCAGCAATAATTTTCCATTCGGTGAAATGGTCAAATCATAGATGCTTGAAGCAAAAGAAAAAAAACAAAATCAAAAACTCCAAAAAAGAAAAGAAGAAAAAATGAATTTTTATTTACCATACTGGTTGATTATCTTTATCTTTGATTTGATCTTGCCACAATAAATTTGATTTCATTTTTTTTACAACAACAAATAATGATGGTCATTTAACATACAAAAAGTTTTGAATTTGGTTTTTGGATAAACAAAAATTTTTATTATGACAAACAATTCACTATTCTGTATAGCAACCGAAAAGAATCACGTTGCTATGCAACATGTTACAAAACAATAAACAAAACAAAAATGAAATATTTCAAAATTTTCTCATTGATCCACTCGGCAGATGATAAGGTTTTTCATATGGTATTCCATAATGTTCGGATATTTGTAGCCATTTATTCATTTCCATTAATCGTTTTGTTTTTTGTTCGGAGCTTTGAATTTGTTTGAATTCTTTTGCCATTTGTCGGGCTGTATTTTTAATGAAATTGATTTCAATTTCAGTATCGGCTACGTTTTTTGCTTTCCAATTTTTCGTTATTCGAATAACCGATCGATAAAATTCGAACACTTCCTTTCTGCTATTAGCCATTGCCATGAATTTCTGGGAAAATTTCTCAAAAAAAGGTTTTTAGCTAAAAGCTAACGGCCTTTTAAAAGCGCTTTCTATAGTTAAGTTTAATTATAATTCACCTTTGATACCATCGATTCGATCGACGACCACGTCAAGAGTTTTTAATGTAAAAAAGAATATCACATGATTGACATTTTCATAATGGACGTTTTATTTTCCTAAATTGAGTTGTTGTTGTTGTTGTTAAGTTTGAAGAAAAAAAAATGATGAATTCGTTAATCATCAGATTATTGTTTGTTTGGTTGTTTTTCATTTCATTTCATTATCATTCGATTCTTGGTTCGAACAATCAACAACAATTATCAATCAAATTTGATGATGAAAATCATCAACCAATATCGATCGACGATGAAAATGATGATGATGACGGTTATGGTAAACAACAACCAATCAGATTATTTCAGGCAACAAACGAATGGCAACAAGTTCAAAATGATGAAATTCTACCAAAAGGTTTACATGTTCGTATCAATCTGGAAACCGGTCGTAAAGAAGCAAAACTTTTGAATGAAGATAATGATGACGGCGGTGAAATGGATGTAAATTCAAAGATTACCACTAAATATCAGAAAATATTGACAAAATCTTCGAAAGAAAAGATTGCATTGATGACCGAGGATGAAGATCGATTCTTGAGAGATATTGATAAGAATAGAAATGGTAACATTGAAAAAAAAATTCATAGAAATATCGACCACAATTCAGAATCGGAAAAAGAAATTCTACATTCATTATTAAAACGATATAATTTAACTGAAAATTTGGATGAAAAAATTTCCCTATTAATCGATATTGAATATTTTGTACATCAAATTGATTTGGGTAAATTTTTTTACGATTCGAATGGTTTCAACATTATGATGAAAGATTTATTAAATGATGAAAGTTTCAATCAACTTAAGATTGAAATTCTTTCTGTTTTTGGATCAGCTATTCAAGGTAATATGTATGTAAAATTAGGATTATCGGGCCAAAATTTTCTTTCAAATATCGTCACTATTTTGTTGGAAAATAATAATGCTGTTGTTGATGTTTTGAGAAAATGTTTTTTCGTTCTATCAACATATCTACGTAATAATCCATTCGAACAGAATAGATTTTTTCATTCGTATGATGGTAAACAAATATTACGAAGATTGTTTTATCTGGACGAAAGAATAGCCGTCAAAATTATTACATTTCTTGATGATATTAGCAATGAAGAAATGAATAACAATAATTTAGAATCGAAAAATAATTTTTTCGATTCAAAATTCTGTCAAGATATTATTGAACTTTTTATCAACAGCAATGATAATCTTGAAAAATCGGATCGTATATTACTTTTGGAATCGATGATAAATTTATTGGAAAAATGTCGAAATGAATTCCGTTCCAATGATTATCCGAATAAAATTGAAAATATTTTGAAAAAATTTTCCGAAAACAATGAATTTATTCAGGAAATGATGGAAAATTTTTTGAAATCTTTATCATCATCAAAAGATGAATTGTGATTTTGTGTAAATAAATAAACAAACAAACCACCTGTGATTATTTCATTTTGAAAATTTTTATCTGATTCGATTCGAATGTTGTGATTGCCATTGATGAACCGTTTGTATTCAAAAATTTTGTACCAAATATCATTTCATTTGGAGCAATAAATTGTTGAAGAAATTCAACCTTTCAAAAAAAAAACATTCCAGAAATTGAGTTTTTTAAATCCAAATTCATTCAAAACAAACATACCCGAAATTCATTTTCATTAATTTGTTCCAATCGAAATAAACGTGCATAACTATCTTCTGAACCAGAAATCAACTAAATGGGGGATAAAATCAAAATTTTCATTGATAATTGTGAAAAACATTCGAATTAAATAATTTACATAACCGGTATTTGTAGCAACATCCATACTGGTTACACATTTAATATGTGATTGAATTTCACCCATCAAAAGGCCATCTTTAATGTTGACAATTTGTATTTGGCCAGCAACCGTACCGATTAGCAAGAATGTTTTGAATACCTGAACACAGGTTAATTTGGTGCTAAAATATCAAATTATGATTATCAATCGGGAGAAAAGAAAATTCATTGACAACAAACAAACAAACATACTTTGCATGTAAATCGAACGTTGTAATTTGTGTGAATGAAAAATTTTTCTCATTCAATTGCCAAATGGTTATTTTGGTAAAATTTTCAAACAAACCAAATCTTTGTAATTGATCATCAATTTTAATGAATTTTATAATCTGTGATGTTGTACTGGATTTCAAATCCTGATGAAATTCTTTTTCAACAAAACCATTGTTATTAGTCATTTCAAATAAATGTAATCGATTTCTTGTTGTAAAACCAAATACATTTTCATTCAATTTTTCAATCGATGTTATTGTCAATTCATTCAATTTTTTATCCAAATTTTCAATATTTTGTTCGAATAAAATCTTATAACCAGATTCTGTTGAATAAATCTGTTGTTGTTGTTGATGATTTGATAAATTACAATTTTCAACAAAAAAATCCATCAAACAAAATTTACCTTCAAAGTTTTCGATGATAATACAACCAAGTAAATTTTATTCTGCAATCGAATCATTTTGATCTGGTCCAAAATCAAAACAAAAAATATGAATAAAATCGATTTGAATATCAGAAAATCACTTTAAACTTTACCATTTGAAGTGGATTTGATTTGGAATTTTGTGAAAAATCAATCAATGTTGAATCAATAATATTTGCAACATCATTTTCATTATCAATTTTAATTATGGCTATTTTTCTATTATCATGAACAGCTAATATTGTTGTTATTTTTGTTGTTGATTTATCATCCAAAGATTCAATTGATAGATTATCATAACAAGCAGATGTTGTTAATGATCGTAATATTAATGGATTTAATTGTGAATACATTATTATCGTTTTTTCAACAAAAAAAAATATTCTATTTTGATTGAATCGAACGAAATGAAAATACATTCGATTTGTTTACCCTATATACACACAGACACAGCTCGGTTTCCACAGTAACCGGACCCACCGGTTAGAGAACGGAATGATTCGGGAAAATCTTTTATTTTTTCCGAAGAAAATCAATCAATTTAACGATAATGATTCATTTAATTGTGAAAAACCAATAATCATTATCACTAATGTTTTTTTGTCAACAACAACAATAATCACCATGATGATGATGATGGATATGGTCACGATTTTTCGATCCAAATTGTAACCAAATGATATTCCATGATCCACATCATCGCTTAATGTTATTTTTTCTTTCATTTCTTTTGAGAATCTTTCTGGCTTCGAAACAATGATGACCAATGATCATGTTGTTGATTGTTTGGATGAAAATCAAGTTGAAATTTTTTTAAAAAATAACAATGAATTTAGTCGTGATTGGTTTGTAAAAAATGCATCAGCCGATATTATTTGTCAATGGTTTAATAATCGACGAAAATCAAACACCGATTTATCAACAACAAATAGTGGTGGTGAATGGCTGATGACCAATTTATCATTACTGTCCGAACAATTATCCACAACAACAAAAGAAGATCATTCTAGTTCAATAACAAAAGAATTATTTGATGATATTTTACTGGATAAAAAATTTCAAAAATCATCAAATCAAATTGAAAATTTAACAACGGATGAAAAACGAAAAAAATTTATTGGCTTAACCGAAGAACAACTTTTAGTTGAATTGATTGTCGATATTACTAATGAATTGGATGTTGATATTTTATGTCATAAAATTCTAACAAATGTTTCACTATTGATCAATTGTGATCGTTCATCATTATTTTTAGTAAAAGGTAATCGTAAAAATCGTTATTTGGTTGCAAAATTATTTGATGTTACTCCTGGTGGTCAATTGAAAGATTCGCTGGTTTTGGACAACAGCAATAGCCGTCCAAAATTTCCACCAATATCATTTGGAACTGGAATCATTGGACATGTTGCCCAAACCAAAGAAAGTGTTAACATTGTCAATGCTTATAGTGATTCACGTTTCAATAAAGAAATTGATATTCGTACTGGTTATCAAACAAAATCACTGATTTGTCAACCAATTATCAATTCAAGTGGTGATGTTATTGGTGTTGCTGAATGTGTTAATAAATTAACGAAAGAATCATGTTTCAATGAAAAAGATGAACAAATTTTTCGAAAATATTTAACATTTTGTGGATTTTGTATACAAAATGCACAGCTATTTCAGCTATCAATTCTTGAATATAAACGTTATCAATTATTATTGAATATTGCTAAAGTTATATTTGAAGATACAACCAATTTAGAAATGATGATTAAAAAAATTATGGAAAAAACCAATACATTATTGGATATTGATAAATGTCGAATGTATGTTATGTCAAAACGATTTTCACACAATGGTGTTGAAATAGCCAAAGATATGTTCGAAGCTATTTATGAATTGGAAGGTGGTGGTAATTCATCTTCCGAATTGATCAAAATTCAAATCGATAATGATGATGATGATAATGGTTCGGATATTCCATTTCATTATGCAAGACAAGCAGCAATCAATCGAAAAACCTTGAATTCAGAAGAATCAACAACATTTTTCGAATCAATTGTAATCGATAGTAATCTATCGATATTATCGGTACCAATATTTAATAATGAACAAAAATTATTAGGTATTGCACAATTGATTAAAACAGATTCAAAAGTATTTACTGAAGCTGAAACTGGTGTTATTGAAGCATTTTCAATATTCTGTGGTCTTGGTATGCAAAGCTGTTTGATCTATGAAGAAGCAATCAAATTGAATGCACAACAACAAATTTCATTGGAAATTTTAGCCTATCATGCATCGGCTAATGAAGAGGAAGTTATTTTATTTATGGTAAGTTGATTTTTTGGTAAAAATTTGATTGAATTAATCATATCATCATATCATCATAGAATAACAACAAAATTCCATCGTTAAATGTTAATCATTTGGATAGTTTTGAATTTGATGATCTTGTTTTGACTGATGACGAAACAGTTGCTGTATTTATAAAGATTTTTATTGAATTAAATTTTTTAAAATTATTCAATATTTCCGATAAAGTGTTATGTCGTTGGATATTGACTGTAAGAAAAAATTATCGTCGTGTTATCTATCATAATTGGCGTCATGCATTGAATGTTGCACAAACAATGTTTGTCATTATTAAGGTATGTTTAACGAATTGAACGATTTGAAATTTTTTTAATTTTCATTTTTCTAAATAGAAATGTAATCTGAATGAAATTCTTAATGAAAAAGATCAATTAGCCTTGATGATTGCTTCAATTTGTCATGATCTTGATCATCGTGGTTTAAATAATTCATTTCAGGCAAAGTATGTTTCATTTTTAAAACCAACAAAATGATGAAATTTTCTAATATTTACAGAACAAGCCATCCTTTGACTAAAATTTACAGCACTAGTTATATGGAAAATCATCATTTCAATTGTACAATGTTGATTCTTAATTTAGAGGTATGAATTTCGATATTTCAAATTTCAAATTTTTTTTCAAATTCTCTACATAAAGGGCAATAATATTCTTGAAAATATTGAAAACACTGAACGAGAATCGATTATCAAAATGATTGAACAATGTATTTTATCAACCGATCTGGCCGAATATGTTGGTAAAAATAATAAATTTGCACAATTGATTCAACGATCCAATGGAACTATTGATATGAATGATTGGAAAAATAAAGAACTTTTATTGGCTATGCTGATGACAGCTTGTGATTTATCGGCCATTTGTAAACCATGGCCAATACAGAAACGTATTGCCAATATGGTTGCCGATGAATTCTATTTACAAGGTGATCTTGAAACAAGACTGAATCTTGATCCATTACCAATTATGGATCGTAAACAAAAAGCTAATCTACCTCAAGGACAAGTTGGTTTTATTGATAAAATCTGTATTCCATTATATAAAGTTAGTATTTTTGTTTTGTTTAAAAAAAACTTTATTTTTAACACTAACAAATTATTATTTTGATTTAGATTTTATGGGAATTTTGGCCAAAATTAAAACCATTGTATGATGGTTGCCTGAACAATCGAAAACAATGGCAAGAATTGATAAATGAAAATGGAAATTAATTATTTGTCCGCCACCGCCACCATCGATCCATATCCACCACCACCAGGTGTTTCCAGATGAAACACATCACCTGCATTAACTTGGATAGTATTTTTAGCACCCAAATTGATAACGATTCCATTATTTTTTTGTAGTAAATTTTTACCACGTTTACCATTTTGTCCACCTAAATAAAATCAAAACAATTATTTTCACATTTTAAATGAAAAAAAATAAAATGCCTTACCTTTTATTCCATACGGGCTAAAAACACGACGTTCAGTCAATACTGAAAGTGTTAAATTTTTTCGAAATAAAATTTCACGTATAATTCCATTACCACCTGAATTCAATCCTAATCCACCTGTATGATAATTGATTGAAAATTTTTTCAATATTACTGGATAACGTTTTTCAAATATTTCAACATCAGTCATTCTTGTATTGGTCATATGTGTATGAACACCACTTCTACCTGAACAATTTGCTGTTGCACCTGTTGTTGAACAGAAAAAAAATTAATTAATGAAGAATAAATTATACAATCAAACATACCTGCACCACCGGCAACTGTTTCATAATATGAAACATTCGAATCACCAAACGTAATATTATTCATACAACCTTGTGATGCAGCACAAATATCGAATGCTTTGAATATAACATCGGTTATTCGTTGTGAAGTCAATACATTACCACCGACAACAGCCGAATCTATATCCGGTGATATTAATGAATTTTTTGGAAATATTATCTTGATTGCTGATAATATTCCCTGATTAAGTGGTATATTATGACCAATCATACAACGTAAACAATAAATAACAGCTGAATATGTTATTGATTCAGGTGCATTCCAATTTCCATGTACTTGTTCACTGGTACCGGTAAAATCAAAAATACTTTGACCATTCAATGGATCAATCATGATTTTCAATTCAATAATTGAACCATCATCCATCATATCGTTTGCCATAAGAATATTCGAACATTTTTCTTTGGCAATTTTTCGCATCAAATCACGTACTTCTAATTCAGCATTTTGTTGTATATGATTCATATAGGCTAACACTACTTCCAAACCATATTGATCAATTAATTCATTGACTAATTTTAATCCTTTATTATTGGCAGCAATTTGTGCTTTTAAATCGCTTAGATTATCATTCAAAGCTCGGGTTCCACTACAACCGGGATAATTTTTTGGCATCATTAAATGTTTGATAAGATTTTCTTCTTGAAAAATATTTTTCGATACTAATTTAAATGATTTAAATTGTGCTCCTTCTTCAATCAATCGTGTTGAATTTGATGGCATTGAACCAGGTGTTAAACCACCAATATCAGCATGATGACCACGACTTGCAAGGAAAAAAATTGGTTTTGATTTACCATGAAATACCGGTGTAACAACGGTTAAATCGGGTAAATGTGTACCACCTTCAGATGGATGATTTGTTAGATAAACATCACCTTCATTCATATTTTCAATATTGGTATATAAATATTCAACAACTTTACCCATTGAACCTAAATGTACAGGTATATGTGGAGCATTCGATACTAGATAACCTTCAGCACTGAATATTGCACAGGAAAAATCTAAACGTTCTTTAATATTAGTCGAAATAGCCGTATGTTTTAATGCTGAACCCATTTGTTCGGCAATACCCATAAAAATATGTGAAAATAAACTTAAATAAATTGGATCCAATTCAGTGGTCATCAATGATTGTGATACATTCGAATGTACATTGATTAATAGATTTTTTTGTTTAGTAACATTAGCATCGCATAATGGTTCAATTAAAATTGTACTATTTGTTTCAATAATAATGGCCGGTCCTTGAATACATTCACCATATTGTAGATGATCAAAACGATAAATCGGTGTATCAATATAGCCAATATTTTCAAAATAACATTTTGTTATTCCAATTGATTTTGTTGTTGTTGTTGTTATTGTTTTTTCAATGTTTTTCATTGATGGTTGTTCATCATAACCGGGTAAATATGTTTCATCAATAAATCCAATCGAACGAATACGTATATCATCAACAATGATTGTACGATCCGGTATAATAAAACCAAATTCACGTTCATATTGTTCAAGAAATTTTTGACGAAAATTATCATCATTACATAAGGTTATTCTATCATTACCAGAACAGGTGGTTACCATTAATGAAAAATCAGTTTTATCATAACGTAAATTAAGAAAAATTTCAAAACGAATATGATTTTCATTGAAATCTTTTTGTTTTAAAATATTATCACATTTTTCCGATAATTTTATAATGATTGAATTAATTTGTTTTAAATTTTTCCGTTCATATGATAATGAACAAGGCATTGTTTCTTCATGTACAATATCGGCTAATGCAATACCATATGCAGAAAGAATTCCCGAATATTTATGTATAAATATTTGTTCGATTCCAAGTGAACGGGCTATTGAACAGGCATGTTGTCCACCAGCACCACCAAAACAAGTTAAAACATGTTTTTTTATATCATATCCTTTACCTTGTGTTATCGAACGAATTGGTCGACACATTGTTTCATTTGCAACCATAATAAAACCTAATGCAATTTCTTCAATTGTCATTTCTTTACGGCCATTATTACGACAATATTCATTAATTTTTATTGAAAGTGATTTGAATTCTTTTCGTACAGCATCACTATCTAATCCTTGATTTTTATTTGGACCAAAAATTTTTGGAAAATAATCCGGTAATAATCTTCCCAGACAAAGATTAGCATCGGTAACCGATAAATAACCATTATTTCTATAACAAATAGGTCCTGGATATGATCCTGAACTTTCTGGGCCAACAACAAATAAACCATTACGAAAATATAAACGTGAACCACCACCAGCTGCAACCGTATGTATATCCAATTGTGGATATTGTATAATAACATCGGCAATTTTTGATTCAAATTTATGTTCCAATTTTCCATCATAACGACTAACATCGGTCGATGTTCCACCCATATCAAAACCGATAATTGGTTTTTCATTACCAATATCATTGACAGTTGTTAATGCATAACCAACAACACCACCAGCCGGACCACTTAATATTGATCGACAACCACTAAAATTCGATACATTTGTTAGACCACCATCCGATTGCATGAATAATAATTTTTTTTGGTCAAAATTCCCATTAAAATTGGACAAAAAACTATCAATATAAGATTGAATATGTGGTGTAAGATAGGCATCAAGTATTGAAGTCATTCCTCTAGGTACATATCGTATCATTTTCATTATTCTATGCGATAATGTTATATGATTGAAACCAATTTGTTTGGCCAATTTTTCAACAATCAATTCATGTTCCGGATAAAGATATGAATGTATAAAAGCTATTGCTAAACTTCGAATTCCAGAATCAAAACATTTCTGTAAATCTTTTCGTACATCATCCAAACAAATTTGTTTCAATATACCTACTTTATCACCGGTAATAGCATCAACAAAACGTATATCATTATTTGAATTTCTAGTGATTTCACATTGTTCATCAAACATAATAATACGTTCATCAACTTCGATAACTTGTTCATAAAGAATAAATGGATCAGATAAATCTAATTCGAAAATATTTTCACGATTTTGATAGCCAATTTGAAATATATCACGAAATCCTTTTGTCAATACAATCGCAACTCTTTCACCTTTATGTTCAAGTAATGCATTTGTAGCAACAGTTGTTCCCATACGAATCGAATCAAGCATATCCAAATTTGGTTGTAATGATGAATCATCAGGATTTTCTTTATTCAAAATTCTTTTGATTGCTTCGAATGGTGCATCTTTATAATGGCTGGGATTTGAACTCATCAATTTCAATGTAATAATCTGTTTGTTTGGACCGATAGCAAAAACATCGGTAAATGTACCACCACGATCCATTGCAATGCGAAACATTTTTGAAAATTTTGAAAATTTTAACGAACAAAACAACGATGAAAATTATGTGAACCTAATTATGTGATTTGCTTTTTTTGTGGAGGTTTTTATATTAAAAAAAATCGAACGATATTCAATCAGAACAACAAAAAAAAAACCTTTGGACTTTTATCGAATCATAAAAGAAAGAAAAGAAAATTTTCCTGGCTGCCAAAATACCAACTTTTTGAATGGTGTAAACAAGCCAATAAAAAAAAAAAAAATGAAAAACATTCTCGAATAGCGTGCAAAGCCGCCGGCCAAGCCTTTATAAAA